TCACCTAGAATATAGTTAAAAAAAAAAAAACTCTAAGTGACGCTTAAAATCATAACCTTTACTATAACTTGAAAATAGCTCAACCAATTTGCATAATTGCTGGAATGGCATTTTTCAGCTCTATGTAGCACTTGTTCTCACAAAAGAAGCTGAGATATGGAGACCCATGACCAAGACAGGCTCTCACTTTAGGTCTACATTCATTTTGGTACAACCCCACCTAATTTCCAACAAAATAAGAAATACCCACTTTCTCTATACCATATGACCATGATTTGGAGAAAATACATCATTCTCCCTCGTGCTCTCTCTCTGTCTCTCTGGCTAGGTATGGTCACACTAAAGCATCCTGAGGCAGGGTATATGCAGAAGGAAATGACAAAAGGAGGAGAGGAAGAGGCAACATGTTCAGAGAAAGAATTATGCAGAAGTTCACCTGCTGTTGTCACGATCAAGATATGGAGAGGTGCGGCTGCAACAGAATAGATACTTTAGCACAGAGAAGGAATGGATAACGTGAAATATAAAGAAGGAAATCAGAAGTGACTTTCAACTGAGATATATTATTTATATACCAATACCGTATTCATTGAAAAAAAGATGGAAATACAAATGGGATACAGCTCTATGCAAATGCTGAGAGAAGAGCCAGGTACGGGGGCTCTGTAGCAACTCCCAGGCTAGGGAACTTGGATATTATAAAATCACTGGAACATGGATTTGTAGCCTTATTCAACTCTGGCTTACGTGGGCACTTAAAATCTAAATGTCCAAGAAGCTACAAAGCATCAAAGGGCATTATAATGAGAGTTTCAAAGTTTTCGATTTGATGGACATAGTTTTGCCTCCAAAGCTTTTCTTTCATACTTTCAAAATAATGGTAATGACCTTTTGGGCTCTTACAGAAGAAATGCAAACAGAAAAGGCACAATTTAAAAAAAATAGCTCCAATGACACACAATAGCATAAACTATAAGGCAGAGTAGGTAACATTAATTACCTACTAGTGAGTAACAAAAACTATGCAAACAAAATCTTAGTGCTTTTTTCAAGACTTTCACTCCCTGTTTTGGGGATTGCTGTCTTCCTCGCTGGTCATATTGTTGAATCCCACTTTACAGTCCTGCCTTTCACTCCTCTTCTACCTGAGTCTGCTCTTCCTCAAAACACTCCATACGTTTTTCACAGAGTTCACTTGGGTTTTCAACACCTGATGATATACAAATGGATATACATATCCTTTGGACCAGAAACCCAGCCTTACAAAACAGTTGTTTTGCTACTTATAAAATAATTTTCTTCATCCAGAAGAATTTACCTCATGTGCCTTTTAAAAAAGGGGTGTTTGAAATACACTAGCAGCTAAATTAACCGCTATATGTACTTAGATAAATATTAACGTTGTCAAATGAGAAACAGCTTTAACTTCCTTGAGTTTCAAATATCACCCTCCACTATTTGAGCTAACATCTTTACTTTTTTTTTTTTTAAATAGACTATATTTTTTAGAGTAGTTTTAGGTTCACAGCAGAACCATCTTCAACATGTTTTTATGAAAAGGAAGTCCTTTAAAAGATTACTTTCTTATTGACTTCTAGTTACCATATCTTGCAGTATAACATCATGAATTGACATTTATTTGTTGGCACTTGGCTGTTATTAAAAAAGTATAAAAATAAAGACTTTCGAAATAATATTTCAAGTGAGTCACAAAACTAGCTCTCACTAGGAACTTGTGCCTTACATCTGTTGATTCATTATGCACTTATGAAATAGGGAAGATTAAATTCAAATTCAATCTTGTCCAACCTTGTGTTGGATGTGATTATGACTGGGATACTAGAAATAATAATTGTTGGTTAGAGTGTGAATCAGTAAGGCAACTTCTTCAAGAACAACAACAAAAATATTACTGTCAGCCTTTCTTTTGCTAGCTATTGGCCGTATCTCTTGGTCAGAACAGGTTTTTTAATCACTGATACCTATTCTCCTATAGTGACAGACATTAGTCATCGGAAACAGTAGAAGTAAAAGAAAATCACTAATAGTGCTTATTGGTAGAAGCTGTGTCTTCCATTAATCTAAAATCCCTTTATCTAATCTAATAGAACATTATACATCAAATTAGTGGCATATGCATATAAAAGCTAACTTTATTATCCTTTCTATCAAAAATTATTTTTTTCTTACATTTTGGGCAGATTTTGAAGTGGCTTAGGAATTCACCCAATTAATTAAAGAGAAACTCAGTTCCTTGAAAACTATATAAAAACTATTACTCAGGAATCTGGTGTATAATGAATAAAATTACATGTCATTGTTACATGATATATTATGAATTTTATTCATATACATTCATATCATGGTAGCTTTCAAATACCATCACCCTCAGAATCACTGAGTTTTCAGTGGTAACTACCCATCCTCTTAGAGTCATCTTTTGCACTGTGTTCATTCAAATACTATAGTAGAGACACAACTTTATGATAGATTACCTGATTAAAAATAATAAGTCAAACACTGCCATTATGAACTGTACCACATTGGTTATTGTCATTTAGAGGATTCAGAATACACTTTGTTTCACTGATTTGGAATTTGTTAAAGATGTGGAAAATGTGTATGGGGATTATATAAATACTAATGACTATAATCCATCGAGTACTTATTCTTTCTAGGCAAAATACTAACTACTTAAGAAGTGTCGAATCCTTAAAGCTCCACTATGGAATTCAATAATATAACATTCATCTTATAGGTAAGTAAACTGAAACTTATATATTTTATACAACTTGCCCAGTGTCACATATTGAGTGTCAGGGCCAGGATCTGAATTCTGATTGCTCTGATTCCAAACACACTCTTAACCATCATGTTATCTCTCTTCCAGAGATTGTCTTCCAAGTTCAAATAACAACACATAGGTGTGTTTCTTAAAGGTAGTGGCTAGGTTTTACTCATCTATGTTCCTTAGTGCCTGGCACAAGGTTTGATACATTGTAGAATTCAACAGTGCGTGAAGAATGAATACTTAAGTAAATGGAAAGGATAAAAAATATTTGAAGTAACTAGTCATATGTTAATTACCTAAGTCACCCTTAAAGTCAAACTTTTATTAGGCAATTTTGTTCCTTTCTAACAGTTTGTATAAAACATATATATCTGCTCTATTGGTACTTGTAGAATATACCAGTGCCAAGGCCCCAGTGACAGAGACTGTGATGTAACTGATTTGAGTTGGGGCCTAGGCATCAATATTTTTTAAAGCTTCCAGGTGATACCAATGTACAGCCAGAGTTGAGGATTAGCATCAGTGGTCAGGTGTGAAGTTCACAGAAGAACTGATTTATTAGAGACCAAGATTTTAAAGATCCTTATTTTAATGAGTGATTATACTTTAACCACTGGATACTCTTGTTTCATCATAAGTAATCAATTCTAATTACTTACACATGTATCTAGTTTTATACTATTGGTATGTATACTGATGTACATCATCTGACTATTTTACTGCCCTTCAGTAGTTAAGACTTCTTTAAGAAATTCCTTTTATAAAGTAAATTATTTTGGAAATTGAAATATCACCATAACACTTTGACTCTTTTATAAATTCGGTTACTAATAGTTAATTACATTTTGCTTAAAATAATCTTGTCACTTTGTAGGCTGGGTATGGGCTTCAAATACTAGACTATGGTTTCTAGATTCTGAACTATTATCCATCAACACTCTAGGTCCAACTTTTTTTTTTTCTTCTCATCATTGTTGAAAAACTTAGTAGCAGAATGCAATGTTATGCTTTTTGAATAATTTATAGCTGTCAGATTTTAATTATTTTATACTTAAAAATATGTAAGTAAATTTGGATGAGGTTTAATTGATTTTTATTCCCTTGAATAACACCTGCATCAAGAACTAGCTTTTACTTATTTAACAAAGAAGAGTATTATGATTATTTTCAATAACTAATTTTACATTCATTCTCCGAGCCTTTAACAGAAGATCAGGCTAAGAAGTACAACATTTTTAACTACAATATCTTAGAATGCTTTCCTGAAAGAAGAATATTTTAGAATAATCAGAACAAGAAAGAATCTACTAAAAATAGTTCTGGGGATTATGGAAAAGGAGTTTGGGATAATAATTTAAATCAAAATATTATATTTAGTTAGATAAAATATGAGCAAGGATTAAAAGTGATTAAATAAAAACATCTTAAAAGTTTACATGTAATTATGAAATTACTATACAACTTGACACCATTGAAATGTAAGGAAAAAAGCAATCATGAAGAGTTTACAATTTAAAACTCCTTAAGGAATTTATATTCCACATAATTGAATCCTTATAACTTAAGAACATCTTTAAGAATGCTTAAAATTATTAACTCAAAGCCCTACTTTTTAATGAGTTAATATAAATAGGCAGCATTTCTTAAGTAGTGGCAAATATATTATCTGGATGACTTTTAAAAGATAACTGAGAACCTGACTGGTTGCATTCAAATTTTCCTTTTTAGAATATCCCTACTTCAAACAGCTTGTGAACTCCTCTATACATTTGTATGACTCACACTTCTGTAAACGTGATTTTAAATGCATTAATACATAAGCAAAGGCATTTATGAAACTGGTCAGTTAATCTTAGTAAACAGAAATTTCAAAAAAGCAAATGATCTTGCCCCTCTTTTCAAGGCCATCTTAGAGACAAAAATGTGAACAGTAAGGAGGCCACTGGTATACTCTGGTTAGTCAGCAAGCTGTTTGACGCAATTCTACGACTTATTTGAAAACAATGGTCAGTTCTTCTGTGCTGAATTCAACGCTTTTTGCTGGTTTGTTTGTGTGGATAGAGTCCATGGTGGATAAAGCAGTGACAAGTTTTCAAAAAGGTCACTTCCCCTGTAAGCTAGCCATCAGCTAAAGCTACTGGACAAAGCTGTTATTTTCACTCATCTCTTTTTACCTCTCGATCTGGATGCATAATATTGATTTACTTACCCTGAATGAATAGGGCTGGAAGAAAGAGCCACGTTGTCTAAGTTCTCAGTGCCCCAGCTTAGACGATAAGAATTCCTTTCTGCCTCCTTGGCTAGAGTTGACACCTAAACACAAAGAACACTGGATTTAATAAAAAGACGTTCCTTCAATTAAATTAAAATATAATGAACTTTAAAAAAATGGCGTGACAGGAAAGTGGTATTACCTGGAAAAACGCTCATTTAAAAATATGATAGAAGACCAAGGCATTTAAAATGTATCTTTATAATGCATTCCCATTTAAATTATATTATTGATATAAGATCACATTTCTGTAATTGTCTTTGAAAAGAGTGGGTGTTCATCTACTTCCTATATCCAGCCAAAGCTGATAAAATTATATCTAAAATGAAAATATTCCATAACAAATTCTACATCTTTTCTAATAGAAAACAATTTTAAATATAGAGACACATTTTAACCTGTACCTTTCATCTTATACCTTAAATGCATCCTACCTTACATTTTCCTTTAATAGAGATTTTATAAAGGGAATGAGTTTTATATATAACGTCCACAGGGAAGAATCCAGTATAGCTGAAGAAACAAGCAGTATGTTATTTTAGAAAAACCCTGCTCACTGAAAAATGAAGTAAACATTTTTTATGTTTTAGAAAAACTCTTAAATCCCTTATCCTAGATTATCAACTGAATTAATACAATTTTTTTTAGATTAAAAAACTTCCTCTGGACATTTCCGGCATCCGATAATGCTAAAAAGCTCTCCAGAAAGCAGAAATGTGAAGGCAAAAAGTCACATACCTGGTGACTGGGGATCACAACTGTGTCGTCAATCATGGCACTGTCCCTCAGGTATGAGGCATGGCTCAGGGTGTGAGACCTGTCGGAACTGAAGGATCGAAGGCTGGTAGGTTGGCAGGAGGTCATGGTCAAATACCAACAGCAGTAGTAGGGTTGGGAGGATGAAATGATGAGCCGAGCAGGAGAGTGAAAAAAGCGTGCTATTAGCTAACAGTGCAACTTCCAGGGGGACATAAATCGCAACCGTGGAAGAAGGAAACACAGGTCTCTGTGTTGCTGTACCTCTCTGTCCCACAACTAAACTAACGTATCTTTTGACTGGTTCCTACCACTCAATGGCAAGGGCACAAGGGAATCCAGAAGATAAAATTTGATACTCCTAATCTGATTCATTTTCTTCCCAGAAATGTCTGAAACCAACAACTGTAGCTTACTGACTGCCACTATAAGAAATTCACACAGAAAATAATTCCAGGATAGATTGCTTAAATCTGTGTTAAATGTAAATCTCCCTGCAACTAAGAAAAATATTAGGGGGCGGGGGAGGGGAATAAGACAGCCCTTGGAGAGAATGAAATGAAAGCACAGGTTCCATTTTCACTCATTTTCCTTTCTCTCCACGCCTCTTTTTTCTCCTCTCCAACTGTGAATGACTGAATGTTGTGCACACCCCTGGAAGCTACAGAGTGAGATGAACTGTGGCCAGATGCATGTTTCCTGTGGAAGTGGTGTCCCTCCTGTTTGTCCCTGGTGTTTCCAACAATGCTATTTCAAAGGACAGCACTGTTCCTTGTGCATGTCCTGTGTGTGGTGAGTGAAGCACCAAAGAGTGCTGGTTGCTGTGGCAATGAGATGCAAGAGCACAAGAAACTGTTTCCAAGACCAACCCACAAAACACACACATCCGCCAGCACGAAAACGAACTGCCAGTAGACACTGACCCAAACTGAGGTTTGGCTTCAAAATGGGATTTAGGCCTTGATAATCAATGCTTTACATTTCTGATAAATCTGAATTTCAAAGTTCTGAATTATATACTCAAATGAAATTGGTGAACCTTGACATTTGCATAGATGCAATTTCATTCCTTCCTAGTCAATTTGTACAATCAAATGACAAATAGATTGATAACTTAAATAAACTACATTTTATACATGTTAGTCCAAGTATTAAAGATCTGTATTCAAAATATTAGCCCAAAGCCCATAGGGGAAAATAAAGAGATATGCAAACTTTCACAATATTGATAGAAGCAAGGTTTCATTTACGTTTAGCTAGTAGGTATTTGGCTAGTGAAGCGCTACAGAATTATGGACTAAACATCAAGTTAGCATATTTATTAGCAGAAGCTATTTTCTTTCGCAAATATACCTAAGTTTGTAAGCCATATACTGTCATCTTTATGAGGTGTCAATATTGCCAACTTCAATTATTTTTGAGGAAATCATCACTTGGTAGATAATTCATAGTAATTTGGGGCTCTCTCCTATTCTGCTGTAGGATTTATGCCCCCAAAGCGAATGCTGAATGTTAGAGGGTAAGTGACATGAATCAAAAAAAGTTTAACTGTCTGATCCTGGCACTTCCCTGGCAGTCCAGTGGTTAAGACTCCACGCTCCCAATGCAGGGTTCGATCTCTGGCTGGGGAACTAAGATTCCACATGCCACATGGTGTGGCCAAATAAATAAATAATCAAATATACTTCAATAAAAAATAAAATAAATATTTAATTGATCCTATGTTTTTACACCTATATTAATCTGTGTTTATAATAAAATCAAATCTAAATAGAATTTGACAATATACTATTTTATGTTATATAAGCTCTTGGGGAAGATTGAGGCTCCTGACACGGCCAAGGCAGGAGCAGCCTGAATGCCTAGCAAACCTATTCACAGGGGTTTTAGTCCTGGCACTTGGAAACAGCTTATATTATAGCTGTTTTTACAGCTGTGCAGTTAAGATTTTGATGGTGCACTTCATAAACAGCCTGCTGTGACCAACCTTGGTGTGACCTTGAAATTGAGGATGGGAAGCTGATTAAATTATTGGGGAAAGGGGTTTTTAATCTCAGCAAAAGCTTGTCTCAATTAGTGGACTGAGCATTTTTTTTTCCTGCACTTGTATTGTTTTGTACCAGGCAGCACTAAGATCAACAGCTCTTAAATTCTATTATCCTTTATTTTGTTTTGAATTGAGCCAAGAGAGGGCAAACAGTAGAGAGGTCAACCTCTCGAAATGATATGGTGTCTACAGGCTCAACCATCTGCCCCCATTAGTTCTGTTGGGCTCAGATTTGTTAATTACTTAATCTCTATCCTCAGCTTTAAAATTCAAAGATCCAGATGGTGACTTTACACATTTAAAAGTGCTAGATTCATATGAATGAACAGTACTAAAGGACCAACAGGCACTTGAGTAAAGGAGTAAAGATGCCTGCTCATAACAGCAAGTAGAGACGTCGTCACTACGTAGATTAACCCTTAAAGGCAGCACTGGAATAGTAGAAACACAGGTCTCAAAGGGGAAATGGAAATTTAGCTTGGATGGGAACAACTCGAATGGCAAAAAGAAGGTACCTCAAATAAGACCCAGTGACGTGGCTGCCACTACTGTAAATGTGTAAACTTTGAAAAAAAGGCAGCCAGGTCTCAATGGCCACTCTCAGGGAGGCACCACAACTGGGTGGATGTCTGTCTGCTTTAGGAATGAGGTATTAAAGAGCTCATTTGGCTGTGAATGTAGAGCTACATCCTGCAATCAATGTATCAGTAATAAAGGTGGATTACTGATATCCATCTACCTGATACCTGGGTCTATCTTTCAATTGGTTTTGAAACAGGAGCAAAGGGGTGTTGGTGCTATTTTTTGTCTCTCCTAGAGCCCCAACAGGAAAGAAATACAGGGGGAGAAGAAAGGAAAGAAAGAGACAAAGTGACTGACCACAAAAAGGAGATTGGGGTAAGGAGAAAAAGATGTTAGAAGATGCAGACAGAGAGTGAGGAAAGTTGGAGAGGCAGAGGGAGAGAGAAAAAGTTGAAACTATATGTCTAAATATCTCTATCCTCTGATTTTATTCTAGTTCACTCTGCTTACTGCCTTCTAAAATGCTAATTGGTATTTAATCAATGTTTATAGTTCTAACTGATCTTTTTTCTAGGATGTCATAGAATCTACTTAAATGAAATATATGAAGTAAGAATATTCCAAGAGTAAAGAAATTATTCTCTCTAAAGGAATCATGACCAGCACAAAGGTCTGGGATAACTCAAGTCTCTGGATCAGAAATCGCCTACCCTGATTTAAAACAGTGCAAGCAAATTCAAATATTTTGCAACAGAGTTGCCTTTTTTTTTTTTTCCAGTAAGTCAGAGGTGATGCTGTTCAGTTAATAAATCTGCAATAACACATATCCATAAAAGTGTAAATTTTTACTTGCTGTTTAGCTAAGGGATAGGCCAAAAGTTTTTTATGATCTTAAATTTATACTTTTTTCACCATGATACAACTGGTTTCTGGACACATATTAGGTGGTATCAAAGTCTGTAATTCCACAGAAAAGTATAATAATTACTATCTTAGGAAGCTGCAATATTTATTAGACATCCAATGAACGGTGTTTTCAAACCTACTGAGCAAGTGAATATCCAAAAATGTCAATGTGTCTGATTTAATACATGGAGAATCTTTTGTGGTTCATTGTTATTTAGCGTTTTACATTGAATTTGAATAGTATTTTTAATTTGTGAGTAATAATAAAATAAAATGGACACAAAATCCAACGAATCAACTTGACTGTGTTTCTATTCAATGTGATTAAAATTTACCTATTTTTATTCTTCTGCATCCATGTACATTTTAGGCATCTGAATCATTTTTTTTTAATTATCTCCAACTATACATAGGCTAATTAGGTTCCTTTTGGGGAAGCCATGCTAATGTTTTATCAACCACAAGGTGGAGCTGTGACAGTTAAAACAGTCAGGCCTGGGGCCTGTCACAGACTTTTGATTCTAGTAAAATATTCACCCTCCTAGCTTGAATAGATATTCAATTTAATACATAAAAATCCTAATTTGAGAATAAATCCATAATTCTAGAATATAAGCACCCCCTGCCAAGACAGACACACACACACACACACACACACACACACACACACACACACACATACATTGAGCAGGGAGCAGGGAAATGTGGATGTATCCAGGAAAATCATGTTTTCATGCTATGTAATACCTACCTGGGCATGGTACTATTGAAAGCACACCAAATAAAGAAATAATGAAAAGGAAAAAAATGGTTACCAAAAAAAGGTAACTTATATTGAATTGTCTAAGCAAAATTTAAAAAATAAATAAAACACTGCATTGCAATCATGAAAATGAGGTACTGACTATAATTCCATCTTGGAGAGCATGAATACATCTGGTGTTCTAGAAATGCAAGTGTGGAGCTGGACAACAGCTCACGTCTTCAATGTTTCATATCTCCTGTCTTTACAAGCTGAGAAGTATTCAGTTTAGGTAGAATCCTCTAACCACTGACCCCTGTCTTATAGAAAGTATTGTTCTAAATCTTTCTCAGTACTAAGTACTTTCAAAGAAGGCAAAAGGATCAAATCAAGCACTTACTCTTAGTAAAAGAAATCAAGCTGGAAAAAAAAAAAAGGATTTTTGGATAACAGTAATATGATTATTCATAGCTTATTATGAATTTTTGCAAAGCCATAAACATTTCACTTTATTGAAATTTGAAGCTTTTTAAGAATCTCAGACTGTGAGGCCCAAATCAATCAGTGTATCAAAATTCAATATCTAGAACACTGACACCATCACAAGCTCCCCTACCCTCACCCGCCAAATGGCTCCTCCTTGTGTACCCTGATCCCAAGGACCACTCTCTGCCTAAGTCATTGAAGCCAAGGAGCCAATCAAGTCTCCTTCCTCTTCTTCACCCACCCCATGAAATCCATCGCCAGATCTGGCCAGTTTTACCTCACAGATATGTTCTCAAATTTTTCATTTCTAAAACTCTCCCCATGACTGCTACCACCCAGGTTAGAGTTCAAGTCGTATCCTAGCAACTTCAGCGAACATTACCGCAATAATTTCTCAGGTGGTCGATACTGCCAAGTTTAGCCCTTTGACTACTTTCCTCTAAAATTCATCCTCTATATCACAGTCAGGGGGATCCATCCGAAATGCAAATGTGACCTCCCCTCCTGCATACTTACACTCCAGCCACACTGCACTATTCTGTTTCTCTCACGCACCACGAGCCTTTGCTCACCTTATTTAAGGCTTCAAACGCCCTCCCCACCTTTCTTCACCATCATCACTATTATTCTGTCTCGGTTTGGGCTCATTCCCTCCAGGAAGCCTGAGCCTCAGGGCTCCAGTTGCACTCTGTGGGTACCACTAGCTTCATCTCTCTCTCACTCCATTAGATTCTGAACTTAGCAATTACATATTAGTCATGTTTGTACCTCTGGTACCCACCACAAAGCCAGCCCAGAAAGGCACTCATTACACGCACACTGAATTGTTTTAAAAAAAAAAAAAGATAGGAGGGAGGCATTAGTACTCAAGGGAAAGGCCCAAGAAAAGCTTGTTTTTGCTAATTGCCCATTCAGAATTGACTACTCTTTAAGGCATTTATTTCTTACACTCCAAATGTGCTGGATACAGCCAAGAATAGAGCCAATATTAAAGTTGTAAACCTAAGATAATTGATTAGCAAAAGACATTACACTATACGTACAACCACATGCTTAACCTAAATTGACAGTCATACTTTTGATGAGGCACCACGGGATGTTCTTAATCAGTTTACCTCAAAAAATAATAAACACCTGGTGTGCTAGTTAGCAATAACCCCAAAATTGATTGTATATTTCAGAATATAATATAAACCTCCCTGGATTTGGCTATAAAATCTGGGCTCCTTCAGATTTTGCTATCATTGCTTTTGGTATCCAGGCTCTTTAGGGATTCTGTTCTGATTCTTTTTCATGAAAAAATCAGTTCCAGGCAACATTTCCTTCTCAATTTGTTACCTTTTAATCCTTCTTCACAACATACTTTTGTTCACAGAAACTATGGCCCTAACAGAAAGCCCCAAGGAGACTGGGAGGATCTTATAACTGCCGTTTAGTAAGAGTGTCCATAAGGCAAAACCGTCCTTTTAATTTGCCTAGAGAAAAAAGTTGCAGGTGATAAAAAATATCATATTTTAATGGTTCAGAGCTCTTTACTGATCACGGCTCTGATTCTTACAATGCTTGACTCCTACTAAACTACTTAATCTCTCTAGGCCTCAGTTTCCTTTAAAATGGACACGAAGTTGTTAGAGAACGCAGAAAGATAACATGCTAACTGCTGAGAGGAGTGAGATACCTATCGAGTGTCAATAATGGTGTCTACTTTTTTTATTATTATCATAAAAGTGTGTTGCACTCACTTCTGATATCAAGGGAAAGCTTTATGTGAATACCTGTCAGAGCGTCCTCCCTCCAAGCTGTATCTCAGGTAATTCATCCCATCCAGGAACTGACTGCTAGGTAGGGAGTCATCACCCAGTTCTTTTAGATCCTCAGGTCTAAGGTACTCTCCCCCATCACCTGTCATTGTGTCATCACCTTGAGGCAATCAGAGAAAGATGGAGAATTACTTGTTAAATGTAATATCGACTACAAAATATGATTATGATTGTGAAGAAATCAGAATAGCACTGACATCACTGAAACACTGCATGCTAGAAAAAAAACAAAAACAGAACACATGCAACTACAGAGTGCTAAAACTCAGGTAAACAATGTTTGACCCATTTTTCTATTACCTACTAAGAAGAAATAATTACCTGAATTGGAATTCTTTTAATATCAATTTTCTTTACTCATTTCTTTATCCCGATAGCTGATTTATCATGATAGCTGATTTATAGCTTTATATTTAACTTAGCAATTAGCACAATATGTAGACAACTTAGCTTCTGGCTATAGTATCAATAATTTTGTACATAATGTCCAGCATTAACAGTCTTTTCATGTAATTGACAATATGCCAAGAAATACCTACTGCTCTAAAACAAATAAGAGGTGTATTAAATGGAACAATATGACTTATAAGATTAGCAAAATATGCACATTAGGGAAAGAACACTAGAACGAAGTAGACAGATTATGACATTGTAATAAACAACCTTGAATTTAATTTTAAAATCATTACGGAGCATAAAAAGGATGCTTTGCTGGAAACTAGATGGTTTCCCAAAAGTGAAGTACAGGGAAAAAAGCGAGATAGATAATAATTAAGCAGTGGCCAAAAGCGATGATTAAGTGTTGTAGCTCTCATTTGGAAGCACAGATGGTACGAGTACATTCCCTGCCCATGAGCTGGAATAGAACACTTTTAAAAATACACATTTCAGGAAATTCAATAAATAATACCTCCGTCACAGAAATGCTCTCCATACCATTAATGTGCTGGGATGGGGCATGAGGCATTAGTACTCAAGGGAAAGGGGGAATAATTTAGCTGAGGGGAACAATTTTTGATGATCCTTTAAGCGCACTAATCACACACTGAAAGCCTGATAACCCATGTAAGGGAAAATGTGAAAGAATGCAGTTCATTCCTATAATTAAATCAAATATTTATTTTAGTCGCATCTGTTTAAAGTAAGTGTTCTAAATCAATACTAATTTATTTATAAAGATACAGCATTAAAGACTTTTAAGAGGAATATGTTTTCAGCATCTCATTACTTCCCTGTACATATGATCCTAAGAGCCCATAATCAAGACTATTAGCTCTGTAAATTACTTAAAGGCAAAGACACTTTGAACAAAAGACCTTCCAGTAAATAGAAATGTAACTTATTCACCACTAAACTTTTTTCTCAAAGTCAATGCATTTAATATTTGGCAGTTACAAATCTCATCATTAAAATTACTTTTACTGCTCCTCAGTGAAATCATTAGATTTTTATTTAGTTTTAGGAAGTGAATTAGGCTACACAGAGTAGTTATTAAAAGTTTAGTCTTTAAAATCAGATAGACCTGGGTTCAAATTCTAATTCTACTACTTACTGGCCAGTTAATCTTCCTAAGCCTCAGTTTCCACAAGAAGAAAATGGGAATGATACTAATAATCTATCTCATGCGTCAGTTATCTGAACTAAGTAACATATAAGGATTATAACAGAGTTCTGGAATATAATAATCGCCAGTTATTATTTTTATCAATACAAAGTGATCTAAGTGTTGACACACCAATGAAATATGAGCTAAATTTCATTTATGCAGAATAATTTTTGAAAAATTTAAAGAAAAATATAATTGCACTGTTTAAATATTTCATAAATCTGACAACTCTAATGAAAACATGAATACGTTTTTAAAATTAATTTTGTTAAAGTGGTTCCCCCCAACTCTTGTATATATTCTCTTCTTCAAAGTGTTCCCTCACAAAACACGATGCAGCAATAGCAGCAATCCAGGGATAAATAACAATATAGATGAACATGAAATGCATGATGTTGGTGAACTTTAAGAACCAAAAAGGTCAGAGGAGGGAGAGATCACTTTAGAATAATGTAGTGGGTTGAGTAATGTCTCCCCTGCCCCCAAATTTCATGTCTACTTGGAAGCCCAGGATGTGGTCTTATGTGGAGATAGGGTCCTTGTAGATGTAAGTAAAGTAAGGATTTAGACGAGATCATACTGGATAATTGCAATGAGGGTGTTTTTTACAAGAGGAAGAGAAGGACACACAGAGACAAAGAGGAGAAGGCCATGTGCAGGCAGAGGTTGGAGTGATGTGTCTACAAGCCAAGGAACACCAAGGATTGCTGACAGGCACGGAAGCTGGAAGAGGCGAGAAAGGGTTCTTTCCTAGAGCCTTCGGAGGTTAGCATGGTCCCACCATGGACTTCCAGCCTCTAGATCCATAAGAGAATGAATCTGAGCCACCAGCTTGTGGTAATTTGCTGTGGTAGCCCTAGGAAATTCCCAAGGAAGCTGGAGAAGGAATCACTGAAGAAGGAATGGGAGCTGGTCAATTGCTTGGGGGCAATTTTGATGGGCAGAGATGATGGTATTTCAGGTGAGAGGCTAGTGTGTAAAGGGTCATGGAGGGCAGTAAAAACAGTATGAATAAAAGAGTAATACGCATTACTTACTTAGAGAATACTAAGTGGAATAACTTAGCACTACTCAGCGTCCATGCTGGTGAGCAATGGCAGAAAGTCCAGGAAGAAAGTTGGTGTCTGAACAGAGTGACAAGATCGCGAAGCTTGGACATTTTATTATAGGACTTGTGGGACTTATGTGTTCCACTATTTCCCCCTTCTTGTTTAATTGGTAAATCTTTATATAGGAGTATTTTTATGAGTCAAATAAGTTGGGATCCCCATTGCTTTATTTCTGGGAGAAAAAAATTTCTAAGATCAATCCCAAGACTTGGTTTACCAAAACACAGGCATTGTCTGGTTTGGATATAAGCCTAAATTATTTTCAGAAAAAAATATGCACGTCCTGTTAACTTTTGAGAAAACTAAGCCTAGTCTTATTTATGAAAAAGTGAAGGGAATGACTGAATGCAGGATGTCATATAATACAAGCTGTACCTTATGGATCCCTTGAGCAAGAGGCCTACAAAACTATGTAAAACCCCAAAGTCTGCTTGAATATACTCTCTCTCTTTCTCTATTCCCCACTCTACTACCCCCCCACCCCTAATCCCCAAGAATCTAAAATAATTGAGCTTTGCTTTCTAGCATCTAATTCCTAATTTCACCCAGATTAGGGCATCCTGCCCATCTTCAGAGTCAATCTGCTTTTGCATTTCATCTTGCTTCTCCTAATTTGCCAGTTCTCACCACAGTCTCTTAGCAACCAAGATGGTTACAGAGAACAAAGACAACTCAAAATAAGTTTCAATTTCTTGGTTCTTAAAATTACTCAAAACTCCTTAATACAGTAGGCCCACACTTCAAGTTTTCTGTCTTATTCCTCTCATCTCCCCCTCTTGTTATTCCTTGGTAAAGAGAAGGTTTATGAGTGAAGGAAAGAAAAGAGAAAAGAAGGAAATCTAGCTGGACTGAATCCCAGTATGGAGAAGCAAGGCCCAGTGCCGGCAGTTTTATCTTGTAAAAGATGCAAACAAACTACATGAACTTAGCTTTCCCCCTCTTGCGCATAAAGAAACTTACTATAAGACAGAAGGAGAGCAACTGGAAGAGTACATTTTTAATCAAATGTATCAAATTGTGTGCCTCTGGTGTCCAGTCAATGTACAATTTCAAAACCCCTGATTACGCTGAGTTCTGTGAAATAGTGGATGTCCTTTACATTCTCCCTCATTTCTGCATTTTGATGGCTTTATTACAATGCTATCTGACTAAGACAGCGGCTACATTAAAAAATCCCCTCCTAGGTTCCGTGTTACCAAATGTGAAGTTTAGAGGTTTGGGGGCACCTATGGTGGCCTTAGGTGTATATCCTGATGTCTTGATTATGTCTCAGAGAGAAATGGCCCAAAGATGCAAAATCCCTAAATGCTGTTGCCAGGGGCCAGATGCTAACCCAATGTTGGAATTAGCTGGAAAGGTACCTGTTTAGGTACTAATCTCACCAGTGCTACCATAAAATATCTCTCCCAGGATATGTGCGCATAAAGCATGCTATGCAATAGTACATATCTGCAGTGTGGGATGGAAAGTAGAAATGCCTGTAGAAAATGAAAAATCAATTTGGGAAAAATATAATACAGCTCAACATTTTAAATGTTATTAATGTGTCCAAAAAATAAGATAATCATATCCTTGCCTTTCATCTTGGTAAGTGAGACGACCTCTACAGTCCAAGGCTAGCCTATCCCGGCCTTTAAATCCTCATCTTCTTTCATCGTCCTAGATACCTTGTCTGCTAGGCCCTTCATCTCCAACCTCTACTTCTCTGTCAGCCCTTTCTTTCCACAGTAACATCATCCATATTTCTGCCATCTTTGAAATACAGCTTCCTCCAGCTCTTTAGGCCTTCTTTATTTCACACTCTGAGTCCTCTTCCTTTCACAGTCAAACCTATTAAAAGAGGCTTTCTATTTTACAAATTAATCAGTGGCCAAGAGGTGATTTCTTCTTTGGAAAACTACCCTCCTTAACTTCTCTGACATAAATCTCCCCTGGTCTTCCCCCTGCCTCTTTGAGTCTTTCTTTTCAGTCTCTACTCTCCTTAAATGTTGATACTTGCCATCTGACTTTTCTTCCCATTTGACAAATTATCGTGTGTTTTTAAAACTTCAAGGACCACCTATATTTTGCCTACACATATATCTGCGTCCATTCCAAACCTCTCTCACAAACTCAACATGCACATTCAAATGCTTCCTGGACTCCACCTAAACTTCCTATAAGCATCTCAGATTCAGCATGGTAGCATACAACTCATCTTCTTCCCCACCCCACTCTCTGCCCATCTGCTTCTCTGCAAATTCCCTACAGCAGCAAACAGTACAACTACTTCCCTACCCTAGCCAAGGGTGGGCGGGGGAAAGGGATGAAGGTCTGCTTTCACATAAGATTTTGAATTTAAATATTTAACTCTTGTTTGAGTACAGTTCTATTAGGCTTGGAAAGAATTTTGCATAACTCAGAAAGCTTATGAAAGAATGGTTATACCCTAACATACTTTCTTTTATCAACTTACTTACTTGATGTAAAACAAACAAAAAGCAAACCCTATTTTTTTGCATCATAACAAACCTAAAGTGAATTTCCTTTTTGTTTCCTATACTTGAACAACCGCTTCCCTGCCATTACATATTTACTTACTTAATAGAATTCTGACTTCCAGGTTTTAGGACTTAACTTTTTTTCATTGTATTCTCCAATCTTTCCAAACAATTTTATGAAAACCCTTTCCTACTAATTGTAGAGCATTGATGTATCACTTGCTTTTAAAGTTTCATGTTTTAATATCTGGAGACTACAAGATTCCTCAGTGACAGAGGCACATTTAGCCATGACCAGCCTCTATGAGACACAGATCACAAGAGTATGGGCATAAATTAAGATAAAGTGGGAAGGTCCCAAGGATTCTTCATTCTGACAACTCTTCACAGTGCTGGGAAGAAGGAGATTCTCTGACATGTCACTGAGCTCTCTCTCTCTCTTAAGAATACTCAGCACTTCTGCTGATAAGTGGGTAAAGTACTGAAACCTCGGGTGTGGAGCCCCACTAACGTCAAGTGTCCACAGTGGAAGTATGTCAAAAGGAGAAGGTAGATGTGCCTCAGTATTTCATCCCAACACTCAGTCATTCTGGAGTTCTCTTGATTATTAGTACACATCGTCCCAGAGAACTAACGGAGAAGTTTATACGAACCACCCACTGACAAATCTCTGAGTATAAGGGATACATGGGTCACATTTCCACAGGTAATTTAGTTACACAGGTATATAACCCCTGAGCCCTACCATATACTTTATGGCTATGGAGCTGAGTCAGCAAAGACAGGAGTCAGCTCAGGACCCTGTGAAGATGCAGAGGATTACATTTACAGCTTTGTTTTAGTCTACACAGTAGAATATTCTGAGACTGAATTCCCATTTCTCTTTTTCTTCCATTTCTCTGCCATTTTGCTCCATCAGGACTGATTTACATCATGACTGAGCCATTACAACAGCTTTCAAAGTGGGTTTAGATTCCACATTCATCACTTAGTAGCTCTGTGCCACTGAACAAACTACTAAACGTGTTTAAGCCTTAGCCTCCTCATCTTCAGGTGAGCCTTTCTCACCTGAAAAACAAATGAGGGGAAATCCATAGCCTATCCCGTATGGATGCTGTAGGGATTAAATGAGACAATGCACCGAGCATTGTGATGTCTAGTAAATGCTTTCTCTTCCCTCAGATACCTGCTTCCTTCCAATTTCATCCTAATGCACTCCTTTGGTGTGCCGCTGTTGATTTAATCTTCGGACGAAACAGATTTAATTGTTTCAATCATTAATTGAAATCTTTAACACATCCTAATTTCCTTGACTTTTCAGTTGAGAATCCAAACATTCCACAGCGAAGCCCCGTGTGTTTTAATGCATCATCCAGAATGAATGACTAGATTATTCTGTCACTCTGTGTCTCTCTCTTGCCCTTTCCCATCTCGGGACCTTCCCATACTGTTCCTTCTCCACTCCCTAAAACCTGTGCCACCCTCCTATTTATCTCTCAGCTTTCAGCAGTTCCTTGAGACTGTGCTAGGTCTCTCCATCTCCAGATTTTCCCAGGCAGATATGAAAAGCAGATGACATAGTGCCTTTAATTATGCTTCATTAATTTATACATCACCTCTCCATATATGTTCACTTTTGATTCCCCCATGGTACCAGTCATAGAGCTTTACACACAATAACATCACTTTCACTATCTGTTGATTGGATTAATGAGTGGAAAATTCTGAATGCTTCACTATAGCAAGTTAGCCTGAAAGGACATCTGTACTTGGTTTGCATATTCTTCTGAGTATTGACACATAGACTATCATTAAAATAGTAGAGCTGTAAAGAAAATAGGGACTGGCTAATACTATCCAAACACATGTGGCTGCACTTTGTCCATATACATGATGGTAGGTTCCGTGAAAACATTTTAAGAGCACAAAAAATTAAAGGATTGGCAATGTCAACTAGTCAAATTCCTTTATACTAATTGTTTGTACTAAAAAGTTACTTCACAAAACTCAGACATATCATATACAAAAATATTATTCAAATTGAATTTCTTTCTGGGGAAAAATGTTAAGTTTTTGGCCATAACTAGACATGGAGAGCTTCCTCCATCACCATGAAAGATATTCTTGATCATTAGCCAACATTCCTCTCAAATCAAGAGTTCTTATCACTAATAACTTTTAATACATAATAGTTTTAACAAAAGTATACAAGATGTTATAACTAGGTCTTATATTATGCAATGGGCAGGTCCAAGAGGATGTTTCACACAAATGGAATTTCTAAAAACCCAGTAAATACTTTGGATGCATTAGCTATTGGAATTCTTTAACAATTATTTTGGAAATAAATAACTATTTTTAGATTAAATAATCACTATCTAATTTATCTGATTTATAAAGTTAGATTTTCATGTAATAGGTTTGCTTAAAGTGGTACCACATATACTTTGGAAACTTCTTGCTAGATAGAATATTTTATATTATTCATTTTTCCCTATATGCCAAAGTGCCCCCTAAATAATATTTAAAGGTTCCTTTATTTCTAGCTAACTTTAAAAAATTAGATTATAACTACTAACTTAATATATTTTTAACCACATCTAAAATATATCTTTATCCAGGAATGGGATGACTGCATATCAAGTAGCCTAACGTCGTTTTTAACATGTTCATAATTCAATGTCAACTTACCCAAAAATTAATTTTTCTCTAAATTTGTATTTTAAGAAGAAATATTAGTTTTGGGAAAATATTTATATAGTGTTCATTAGATAATTTAATTATGTTAATAGGTCTCAATAATAGTTTCAAAAATCATTAATAGCATAAGCAATTCATAGTGTTAAGCTTCCAAGTTAATAACAATCCACACACCCAAATGCACACGTAAGCAATTCCACTCATATTACACACACTATTTCAAAAACCACCAGATTAGTATTAGGCACCCAGATTTACATATTAAGCTAGTTGCTTCTAGCCAGTTAAGAAAAATTAAAAGCAAAGGCAAACTTTCACTTCAACAGTTTCCTCTAAAGGTACCTGAATCACTAAGCACTTCCCCATCAATAAAGTGGTCACCAAACTGTTTAAAAGCTGTTCAACATGTAAGTGAAGATAAGAAAGAAGATCACACGAAACAAAATATAGTGTGCATGTACGGATGCCGAAAATTGGCAAGTATTAGGATGGAACTCAAAATTATTATAATAAATACTTGGAACCATTAGCTTTGGCAATACCTTTTAATTTACTTACAATAATACATTGACCCAACATTTGTTTGTTCTTGTCGTAAGTTCTTATAAAAGCTAAGACAACTCAATGTCTGTTACCGATAGGTGAATTAACAAATTGTTTCCAAATAAGGGCATCTCAATGTAAAGTTTTACCTTCTGAACACATCTTGAAGAACCTAAAGAAATACCTTTAATATTTCTCCATAAAAGCAGTTAGTATTGGGCCTACTACTACGGTCAGTATGGCAATAATTTTTAAAACATGTACACTTATGTACATGTATTCATGTATACATGTCATGTCATGTATATACATACATATATATTTTTCTAACAGGCACACTTGACCAATAGCTGCACTACTGAAACTTGGTTGCATACTTTATATGCTGCATTCATGATTTTTTTAGCAGATTTTTCTTTTTGTTCAAGAAAAGTCAACTACTCTAGTTGAAGTAGAGGTGGGGAGCTAGAAACCCTGCTGGCAGTACCTCTAGCATGATGCCCCATACCCACCCCAAGGCAGTCCCTGGTGCTCCTCGTAGAGCTTCTCAGACCTTTGAAATCCACTGGCTTAGATAATTTTTATCAACTCTAGAACTATAGGGGGCATATAGTTCTTCTGACTTAAAGAATCAAATTCTTATGTTGAATTTGTATGACTTACTCCTGCACTATTTTTAACCTTCGCTAAGGCCCTTTTTTTCTATGTATTAGTTTTAAAATATATTTTTTTCTATATATTAGTTTTAAAATATATTCTGTATGTTTGAGCCAATTAGAAAGCAGAGATTTCTCAATATACCGTTGATAGAGTATACGTTAAGTTCTTTTACTTTAAAGCATTTTAATAAAAAATGTATTTTAGCATAGTTAAAACATATTAACAATAATTGTATTATCAGGTAGATATTTTAACAGATGGCCGACTTCCAGTTTCTCTCCCTTGTCCTAGTCCTGTTATTTAGTAAGTCATTAAAGATAACACCAGTTGAAAATATATAAACAAAATCCTCCCTCCCCCAAATTGAAAAAGTAAATGTACTGAAACAAAGGTGAAAAGGTTACTTTAAGTGCTAAGATGCTGTCATCCACATCCACCGTACCAGCTTGTTCCCTGAAAAAATGGATGGTTTCCTTTGTGTAAGACCATGACAGATGTCATAGAAGGATGAATAAAAGTCTTACCCTCTTCATCAGAAACATCAAGAACCTCAGTCATGGTCTCAGGAACATTTAGCTTGTGTTTTTCAGTGATAGTCTGGAAAGACAAAAATCATTAATGTTCAACTTAAGAACAAAAATCAAACAAAAGATCAAAAGAATCACAGAGGAGAGGCCATAGTCAACAGCATCAGCAAGCGATCAGGCCCCGAGCACTCCATCTTCTCCACATGGACATTTTGGAAGCTTAGTCTCTTATTCTCCTTCATGGAACCTCATTTGTTCTTTCTGAAGATAAATGATCATTTACTCCAGTGAAGTTGTACAAGAGAAAGTTCATTATTTTGAATTCCCATTTGCAAAATAAATTCTTTAGCAATGGCATTAATAGCCATATTGAGAAAGCAGAGTCAGGTTTTCAGGGCTTCCTTCAAATGGACTAAGTAATGTCTCCAGAAAAGCTTTCAAAAGAAGCAGTGAATATGTGCAATTTATGAAAAACAAAGGCACTGGAACGAAGTTGTAAACAATGTGAAAGACATAAACTTCGGGGCAGAAAATGTGATGCATCTCTTCTGGGATTAGAGGATCAACAGTGGAGAATCACCCATCCTTATAGTCTTTCATTGGTCTACAATTCTGGCTTGCTGCTTATTTACCTTCCATAATAGCCCTCCAGAGTTGCCAGATGCACTGCCTTCTATCCCTGATGGATGATGTAAGGTTAAGAGACCAGGCTCTGGAGTCTGGCTACATGGGTTCAAATTCTAACTTCATCATTTATTAGCTATGAGGCCTTAGCAAGTCCCTTTATTTCTCTGTGCCTCAGTTTCATCATTTGTAAAACAGGATAATAATACTACTTCATAAAATTGTTATGAAGATTAAATGAAATATATAAGAGCTCTAAGAACAGTGCTTAGTATATGTTAGTATTCAATAAATATTAGCTAGCATAATTTATCATCACTATATTTTGATATTAAATTAATCTTAAAAACAAAGGGCCTCTGAACTTTTGAGTCATTCAGGCACTCAAGAAACACTCTGAGTGCCTATTGCATGCCAGGCACTGTTTCAGACACCAGGGATACCACAGTGATAAAAAAAAAAAAAAGGATAAAAATCCACATCTCATGACTTGAAATATCACCTAAAGATAGTTGAGTCTCAAATTCCTATCTCTAGTTTCTGCATTGAAAGTGCATTAAGTACATCACTTGGCATTGTTATGAGAAATTTAAAAAACTAATCTCCTAAAATAAGAGCAAAATCTTCAACTAAAGCCACCAAAATACAGTAAATAGGTTGTCTAGGTTTTTAAGCTTTGCTACCTAGAGACAACAGACCTGTTGGGCTACAATACCCCTACCACCAACTCTTTTTTTTCCAAAAGCAGTAGAGAACTTCAAATAATTTTACAGGGAAATTCAACTGATTAATTTAAGAATATATTTACATACAGGGGTATAATTTCTGTATGTGAAGAAGGACTGATTAAATCACAATGTGATACTGCATAACCTTTCAGTGGCTTCCCATTTTCTTCAGAAGAAAACTTAATACAGTTGATCCCCGAACAATGCAGGTTTGAAACTCATGGGTCCACTTACACGTGGATATCTTTAAATAGTAAACACTACATTACTACATGATCCGAGGTTGGTTGAACCCACGGATGCGGAACCATCCATACTGATGGCTGACTGTAAGTTATATTCGGATGAACTCCCCGGGTTGTTCAAGGGTCTGGCAAACTGGCTGGAAGATGCCTGGTGATGTAGTAAGGAGAGGCAGGGAGGCCTCATCCCTCCACCACACGCTACAACCGTGTTGGCAGCCATGTTCTCTTATGCCTCTGCTTTTTTTCCCCATATATCCTTTTCTTTACCAGAAATGTTCTTTCTTCTCTTGTCTTCGCTCATATAAGATGCAACTTCCTTGGAGAAACACTCCCTGACCCTCCCCAATGAATGTGTTTGTTCAACCGTGTTTATCTGCCGCTACCCACTCCTATAGCATCACGTGCACCACACCACACACAGCTGTACGTGCCCCCTTCACCTCCCACCTCATGAGTGTGAGTCATGAAAGAAGTTGTTTCCACAGAACCTGAAACATAGTAGGGGCTTCTCAAATACATATTGGAATAAATTGATGACATAATACATTTAAAATCCACATAATGACCACATAGATTTTCTTTGGGAAGAAAAGAAAAGGAAGAAATGCAGAAAGTAAAGAAAGTCTCGTGTTATCCAGATGAAGGTACAATTGAAGACTAGAGTAGTAAATTCAGCTTTCCAGCATGCTGTTTCTGATGTCTAAATAATTCCATAATGTCTTATTCACTGAAAACAAATTAAACACTGTAGGAAAGACAGAAGCATCTATCCAAAGTTCTGGAGAATAACAGGTAGTCAATAAGAATTTGATGAATGAACAAACTTAAAAATATACCATTTAATTATAATATTAATTAATTTATGAATTTAACACAGAAAGATGATAACCTAAGTTCTATATTAACGGTTCTCAGCTCTACCTGCATATTATAATTATTAGAGAAATTTAAAACATATTGTTGCTTGGGTCTCAGCACAAGCCAATTAAATCCGCATCCCTGAAGACAGGGCCCAGCTATAGGTATTTTTTAAAGTTCCTCAGGTGGGTCTATTGTGCAGCTCAATTTGCGACCCACTTTCCTGCATTAGGAAAATGTATAGATTGCAGAAAAATGACTTACATTTAAAATACAGGATAGAGACAAGGACATTCAATTAAACTATGACTTTTGGGGAAACTTTTAAAATAAGTATCTAAATGTACATTAAATGATTAAACATTTTAAGGGATACCTACTGCATTAGACCACACCAGAAAGTCCATTTTTGCAGAAATGTTCTAGAGTATTTACCCTTCATTGGAAACATTTCCACAAGAAGATGCTTCTCCATTTGAAAATAACTGATGGAAATACACTTTAAATGATTAAATTATATTGCCTGACCTTCTTAGTTTCTATTTTCAGATGCTGATAATGTGACTATATTTTCTTTGAACTTGTGAGAGTGGAACTAACTTTGCTTTAGTTTGGTTATTGAATGCTTTTAAGGTTATTATCAGCAAATATATGTGGCAATAGAAAAAGTAACACTGATCATAATGGTCATGGATATTTTTTGGCATAGATATTAAAACTGCTTTCTATATACAATGTAGTAAATATAGTATGCATTTGTACATGACGTAGTGCCTGACCCTTAAAAGGTCGTCAGTAAATATTTGTTGAATGGATAATAAATAAGTCTTCCCACTCATTAGTAATGTGATAAGAAATGAAAAAAATTGTCCCTTTAAATGAAGTGTCCTTTGAAAACTTGATTAGCCAAACATAAATATGGTTTTATGCAAGTACATCTGAATAGCCCAAAGAAAACAAGGATATAATTAAATGATCATGGGCATCTTCTTCTGCTATAGAATCTCGGATTCTATGGTCAAGATTAGAAACTACTTTAAAAGTTAAAATGAGTAGTGCACGATGCATACGTTTAATAGGATGTAATTAAATCATATAATGTGGCAAAACAAATAGAATGCGATAGATGGCAGACTTAATAATGAGTTTTTAACATTTATCATGATGTAGAAAATAAAACATGAGTCCTTACACGGTGTTTTATAAATGGGGGATAATATCTGCTTTTTTTTTGTGCAAAAGAAAAAGTGTGCTTTACTGCTCTTCATTTAGCCCATCTCCCTGGTCAACCACTTCCTTTGTACCACTTACTCAGCAAGTCACAATAAGTCACAGCGTGGCGAGTGACCTTGGCTAGTATGCCACCTTCCAGTGTCCACACACATTGGCTCCCATCAGTGCTACAAGCTAAACCTGGTTTTGCTCCCAAACCCCTTTATACTAACTGTACATGTTAACATAATTTTTATATATAAGTTAAATACTACATAAGTAATATTTTTCTATAAAAACTAAGGTAAATGGTTTGGAAAGTCTCAACAAAGGTGGATCTCCAAAAATAACTGCTACTCAGGTGTGGTTGAGACAATTATAGCACGTTGGGGAAAAAATGTCAAAAGTTTAAAAAGGTTCTGCACTCAGAATAGTGTCTCTTTAAGATAATACACAGGATAAATTGTATATAGATATAGACATTATAGGATAGACACACACAATACAGTATGTATTATACATGTTCTTTGTTCAAGAATGACGACTTAGCCTTCTAGTCAGTGGACCTGTATTCAAAGAAAAGTTCTTGACTCCACTTAAAAAGTGTCAAATGACTTTACATGTATTTATTGCACTGCCACTTTTATGATTCCCATTTTAACGGACTTACGGCATCAGATAAGATTTAGAACCAAAGTTTTAATGGTAATATAACTATAATGTCATTTTTATTTTAGTAGCTTATTCAGTAATTTATGCTCTACATATCAATGATTATATGCAACGATCACTTTAAAACTATGCAAATAATTGATGATAGCTGATCAGTAAGTAGAGGGATGAGTCATATCTCACAGTTCTTCCAAACTGCATTAGGAGACTGAGCTTGCTGGCTTCTGCTGCCAGAAATGTGTCCCTCCCACTCTGATGTCCATTCCGGCAAACAGACAATGACTGTAATCCCCAGAGAGTGCTCAACTGTCTCACATCATCTGCTAGGTCTTACGAAGTAAACTTAGAAAAGCAAAGGTTAAGGAAACAAACCAGGATTCCAAAAATGTCTCACAAATTTCGGAAGCAGTGACTTTTCCTTTACAAGCTGCTGTCTTACTCTTCTCTCCACACAATGACTTTATTCATACTTTGGGGTGAAGAATTCTGGAAGGAGGAATAGCAAAGGAAACTTTCTCTGATGGCAGAGAACTCACATTGCTGCTCAAATGGCACATCGTATGAAGCTAATGATGTGAAATTCGTATGTTAGATGTATGGCTGTAGTTCAACTATTACATTCAAATGGTAGTAACATGAAATTTAATTGGATTAATTTTACATAATTATTGCCTCGTGCTATTTACCTACCACCAGTGAGTAGTTCCAAATTATTTTTAGTGAATCTGTAGATTTTAGAAAATGATACTGAATATGATACTTCCATGAAAATCAATAAAGGGCGCTATTTAAGTGAGTTTTTAAAAGTTGAAAATTCCTGGTAAGCTACTTTTAGTAAAGCCAAGATCAGTTACATCAGAGTGGTTAAGAATATGGATTTTGGAATCTGACAACCTAAATTTGAATCCTAGATCTACCCTCAGTGTCTGGCATATTTGTAACTACTAAATTTTAGTTATAGTTTTTAATATCGTTAATATCATCGTTATGTGGGAAAAGAATGAATGAAAATCTTTTCTGAAAGAGAAGTATAAAGTAAGAAGACTCACATCACAGAAGGAATAAGTTCATCTTTTCAATCCTTAACCCCAAATTCCATTTCACAAAACAATAAAACTCACAGTTCTAAGAATCGAATTCTAAGAGAAGAAGAAAGTAAAGATAGGGCAGCATTAAAACATGTAACCAATAAAACTACCCATTTAGATAAAGGGGGTACTTGTTTAGTTAATGTGGGCAATGAGTTCTTATCTTCCCAACTGAAAGCAGACATGCTGTTATGTTTTACATTTGTTTGTTGGCTTTTCACCTAGAAACTTGATTTCTAAGTATGGTGGTTTTTATTGGAGCAATGATTAGCTAGGCAGCATAGAGATTAATAGCTACCAGAAAAGAAAAAAAGCTCACAGAGAGTTTTATGAGGAATTTTCACATCCCCCTAGAGCTACATATGTGGAGATATGACTATATGTCTGATTTCTGACAAGGTATTTGAGAACTTTAGCAATAGTATTTAAAAAAATTGCTCCTCTTTTTAAATATAGACCTGTACAGTTTAAATTCATTCACTCTAAGTAATATTTATGAGCCTGAGATCTCTTTGAAATTAGACGTGTACGTTCTATAGTTCTATTGATATTAAACAAGAATTTATTGATATTTTCTTACAAAACTTAAGTCTCATTCTTCACTACACTGTAAGTTGCTGGTAGGGAGGAGCAGTGTTTACACCGTTGATGACACTTCAGCACTGAGCACAGAACCCAGCACATATTTTATATCCAATAAACACTAAAGGAATGAATTAATGAAATGAACGGAAGAAAAAGCAGGTCAAGATAGCTAAAAGATGCAAGTTTGCCATCTAGTGGTCATCTGATAAAAATGTACATGCATAATTCCCAGAACATGCAAGAGGTAAAGTTGAGAGAAAACATGACTTCTAAGAACAAAAGTGTTTACCCAATCTTGCCACCAAAACCTTCACTTATCTGTGATGTGCACATTGTTTCAAAGATGCCAAATAAAGATATATGTACAGGTCCCCAATATGAAGATTTTCCTGGTATAACAAATCATATAGTAAGAAAAAGCCATTACGATTCAGCCATATATAGTGACTCAGAAGTATAGTGCTAGGTGATGACAAGACTTGTTTTTCTACTATATAATTTATTGACACTATACTTTAAATCTTTAAAAATATTGTGGCCAAAGATTTTGCTTGAGAAAAGCAGTGCCATTCTCTCATCTAAATTCAGTCTCTGTCTTGTAGTTCATTAATAAATCATACTCCACTCTATTTAAAACTTCACATCAAACCAACTACCTCAATATCTGTCAAGAGGGACTTGCTGTCAGCCTGAAGAACAAAATTCCTTTCTTCTTCCTTACATCTATCAAAAGAACCAAGTGTTCCAAAACTCTATATGCATCATTCCTAGCTTGGAGCATTTATTAGAACCTCATTCAGAATTTTATATTTGTTGATTCATGATCTTATTGTCTCTCAGGAACATCTAAATGTTCTGCTGTCGGTCTACTTTTCTACTTTATGAAGAGAAATTAAAGAGCTGTTGTTCTTAGAGTTGATGCTTAAGGAGAAAAGTTAATAAATATATGCAAAGAGAAGAGCACTTTCAGCTGCGAGTTTCATCTCAGGAGGCCTCCTTTCAAGCTTTGCTCCAGCTGAATAGCACAAGAGCATTAGGACTCATTAACATCACGGTCCTCACTCTTCCAGAGATTCTCTGGCAAAGGCCAGTGATGATCACTGTTCTCTCCTAAAGAATCAGCAGTCATATTCCAAACAGCGAAAATAAAAAATGTTACATATATATTCTGTCAAGATACAGACACAGTTTCTCTCTTAAGCACATTCGATTTTCTTTTTGAATAAAAAATAATCCGAAATAGGAAGAAAAGCAGGATGAATTGTTCTCACTGGGAATGCATCTGACCCAGTCATGAGCGTAGCAGGGATCAGGGTCTTCCCAGAGTCTGGCATGACCTCCGGGCTAAGATAAAAAGTTTGCTGTGGAGTGTCCTACCACTTTGCCAGCGGTAGGTGTCACACCCAACTACAGCAACAGGGCAGAGGAGCCAGAAAAAAAGAAGTCAGTCACAGAAAAAGGAACTAAGTATTATAAAATTACATTCACGCATTTTATATGGATTTATGTTGACTAAAGGAAGCTGAAATCCCTGTTACTAGTTGTGTAAATGCCTTTACATCTGCATACTTCAATGTATGCTCTACAATAAAAGAAGTTCAAAATCAAAAGCTCAAAACATTTTGTAAGTGAAAATGTCTGTGGCTTAAAAGCCACGACAAGGGAGCCGAAGCCGATGGGTTCCTTTCACTTACCGTGGTGGTGGTGGTGACCTCCTCGGTTACAACCTTCAGGGTGTCCACCACGGAGATGTAGCCCAGACGCTTAGCAATCGCCAAGGCAGTGTTGCCATTCTGAAGACAGAGTGAAAGAGAGAGTGAGAGCCGGGAGGGAGGACGGCGATGTGAGCCAATGAGCTCACCCGCGGCTCCACATGAGCCAGCATTTCCTTCCAAAACAAGCACAGCTTAGGAAAATCACTAGTTTTTACCATTACATCTGAATCTTCTTTGTAACTTCTTTAGACTATAGCCCAGGTCACCATGGCAACACAACAAGCTGCAGCTGCTTGCTCTTTCTAATAAGAAGCGCTTGACGGCTTTAACCCTAAAGTTGTCAAACCCCTCTCCGAATCCTGTACTATGCTTAGGAAAGTAACTCTTGAACTGAGGATGAGGCCTCCGAAGAAAACTATTCAAGTACCAAGTACACTCACTCCTCAACAGAGGTCAGGCCATCTGTTGCAGGTAAGATGTTACCACAGGGAACACAGTAACATATTTAGCTGCAGCTGTGCAGAAGCTCACCGTGCAGCAAAAGCACACAAACAAGCAACGCAGGCTCCAGCAGCCACTGGGGAGCCCGGTTTGTTAAATTGCACCGCTTAGTTTACAATTCAACGGCTCCACATCCCAAACAGCTTAGTCGGAGCCAGCGGCCTCGGAAACTGTGCTCCCTTAAGAAGGCCGGGCGGGAGGGGGCGGACTCCGCGCCCAGCCGAGAGCCAGCTGGAAGCCGAGCTCTTTCCAGCAGCCCGAGCGCAGGGCCCCCTCCCGGAGGAAAGACTGGGTCAGGCCGCGGCGCGCTCCCTCCCGGGACGAGCGCTCCCTCCCGGGACGAGCGCTCTCAGGGAAATCCCAGGCTGATTTCTGGAAATCCCAGGCTTTCCCGAGTGCGGAGGCTCATTTAAGGAGGCTGTATGGGGACTCAGCTCAGCCAAGCGGCCCCCCTGGAGGGGGATGGGGGCGGGGGGCAAGGAAGGAGCTGCGCGGAAAGGGGCAGCCGGCGCCGCCTTACCGCGGTGGTGGCGTTGGGCTTGGCCCCGTGCGGCAGCAGGACGTTGATGATGTGCGTGTGGCCCTGCTGGGCGGCCTGGTGCAAAGGCGTGTAGCCGTTCTGCAGACGATGGTGGCGGCAGATCGAGCAGAGATTTGCAAAAGGAGGAGGAAAACTAGGTTAGCCTTTATTTTGAATTTCTTAGTCTTATTTACAACCAAACCGTCACGGATGCCTGCGTCTTTGGAGCACAGTATCACCAGCAGCCCATTTTCTCAGCAGCAAAACTCTCCCCCCCCCACACCTTATCGTCTGCTAAACAAAGAGGCTGGCTTGTGAAGTAGCAAGATTAACAGACTCCAAATCATAACTAGAGTTATATTTTCACCAATTAGCACTTGAGTTAGCATTAAAAATGTGTATGCTGAGAGAAGATTTATAATGAGAAGGAGCACTGTCACAGTGATTTCTTCCCTAGGAAAAAGGAATGGTCAAGTGTTTAACTGAAGCTTCGGAGGACCATACAAACAGCTGCTTGTTCATCGAGACTTCCTTCATCATTAACCTCTGGGCTAGCTTTAAGAATTCTAAGCCAATGAAAATAAATCTAAATCTTATATTCCTTTCAGAGAACACCTCAGTCAAAGACGTACACACTTAAGAGAAGATTTCATTGGAAGCTGAGTGGCCCACTTTCAATTAAATAATGTTTTTTAAAAGTAGGTTCTTTTTAACATTCTAGTCTAAACTTTCACTCATGAAAGTTCTGTAATCCGTGATTTGTGAGGAATTGCTGTTGAGGTTAGTGGGAAGCCAATCTTGCTCAAAACTCTAGTGGGTGGTGGGTATGGTACAGGTTGGTTGCATATACACCTTAATTAAACTGCATTGGAATCTTTGGAGGCACAGCAAAACATTAATAGCTATTGTGTATTAAGCGTCCATTTTACGCCAGATATTGGACCTTATATTTATTGTCTCTTTCTTTTTTTGCGGTACGCGGGCTTCTCACTGCTGTGGCCTCTCCCGTTGCGGAGCACAGGCTCCGGACGCGCAGGCTCAGCGGCCATGGCTCACGGGCCCAGCCGCTCCACGGCATGTGGGATCCCCCCGGACCGGGGCACGAACCCGCGTCCCCTGCATCGGCAGGCGGACTCTCAACCACTGCGCCACCAGGGAAGCCCCATTATCTCTTTTAATCTTTATTACCATTCTGAAAATGAGAGTGCTTGGTACACAGTAGGTGTTTTATAAATAATAGATGCCTAAATGAGGGCATGAACAAATGACTGAATAAATGAATAATTTTCTCCCCATTTCAGAGATGATGAAACTGAAAATAACAAGGTTAAGTAATTTCTTCACAGTCATTCTAGGTTCAGATCCTATGTAGAAGAGCATGATAGACAATGACTACTAGATTACTTTTTTATTGTCTACCTGCCTCACCCCCAATAAAATTTCATCTATGTATGTCAAACCCAAGTGTCCTGGGCACAAAGTCCTGAGTAGCCCATTCATACCTTAAACTTGTAAGAGTATATGTTCCCTATATCTAGTGTCACTGCCTCCTCATGACCAACAGGCACATTTGCTTCTCCTGTCTACATGAAGTGTCTGACTCTGTGCTGTTAAAAAGAAAACCACAGGCCCAAGATGGAGTCACTTATGCTAAGCCACACCACCATATTGGGGCTTAATACCTAACCTAATTGAAATTTAGTCTTAACCAGGCAGTCAAGAATTTTCTAGTCAATACCAATCAGGTAATACGTTCATTCCCCAAAGGAAGATGAAGTAATCTGCCACATAGACCTTTTCTGTCTCCCATAGGTAGGTTACCTAAGCCTGAAATAATCATTTTTCTTTATGATTTGCTTGTCCTGCCTTTAAAAATCTTTCTCTTTTGGTAGCCCTTTGGAGCTCCCCTCTACTCACAGAAGGATGCTGCCTAATTCATGAATCATTCAATAAAGCTAATTAGAGCTTTAAAATTTAGTCAGATGAATTTTGGTTTTTTAACAGATTTGGTGGCAGCAGTGTGATCCAAAGTGAAGTTTTGATGGCATTTTGGGACAACAAGAAACACAGTCGTGATACCTGCAAACTCCTATCTGAGTCCACTGTCTTTCTCTCCATTTCTGGGGGCTGTTGGTAAGTTCCTCTCGGTTTGAGCTCTGCTCTTTTTGTGTTGAACTCCAGATCTAACTGGCTTTCCAGTTGTGTGGAATCACTAGTTCCATGTTGGGTACTTCTGGTAGTCCTGACCACAATTTCCTATTTGATTGGAAACCCCAGCTCATGGTTCTGTCCCTAGATTCCATGTTGGGAACTGCTAGCTACAGTTCCCCATTTGTTTGGAATCAGTCCACAGACCCTATTTGTTGAGGTCTGCTGGTTCAGTTCTTCACCTCAGTCTCAGGTTCCAAGTTGGGAATTGTTGGTAGTGTACCAGGGCCTTTTTCTTGGCCAGGCTGCAGTATTTGGTATTTACTGTACTTAATTCTGCAGTGTTAAGGTACACATACTTGTTTATCCTGTTTTGTGTAGATAAAGGCTAGCTAAAAGAGATGGGATCTTTAATTTCTAAGAGTCAAGTGCACCACCTTCTGGCACAACTGCCTATTTTATGTCTAAGAACTATAATCGCAGAAGCTATAGATGTCTACAAAAATGTCAAAATCTTACTGTGTCCTGAGAGTTTTACCTGGTAACTATCATGTTGGGGATCCCCCAAATATGACCAGACAGAAATGTGGGTGGCACTCCATTTGTGGCAAAATATGGCTGGACAGAAATGTGAGTTGAACCCCATATGAAGCTAGGGTCCTACCGAACTGCTGCCAGCCCTCAGGGAAATTACAGTGGCCATTATGAGGAACATTCCAATTAGATAAAATCTTTTAAGAAGTGAACTTAAGGGCTTCCCTGGTGGCGCAGTGGTTGGGGGTCCGCCTGCCGATGCAGGGGACACAGGTTCGTGCCCCGGTCCGGGAAGATCCCACACGCCGTGGAGCGGCTGGGCCCGTGAGCCATGGCCACTGAGCCTGTGCGTCCGGAGCCTGTGCTCTGCAACGGGAGAGGCCACAACAGGGAGAGGCCCGCGTACCGCAAAAAAAAAAAAGAAGTGAACTTAAAAGCAAGGGATACATATTTTAATTGGTATGCAAAAGCCTCCAAAAGGGTTCAAAATTTCAAAATAACTCCACTGAAAGTTCTGTTGCAAAGAGCTAAGAAAAAATTAAAGATATAAGAGGTTCCTAAAACAAAAGACTGTAAGACTGACATAACTCCAGTGGTCTCCTCTTTCCTCCTTTACTTAAGTATTCATTCTAGTAATCCTGTCTGAATTGTCTTTTCCACTCTAAAGAGAACAGGAGACCGTAAACAAAAGCCCACCATGTTAACGGCCTTACAGACACCCCCATGCCTATCTTCGAAGGAGGGCCCCCATATGGACACCTCTCAGAGTTGATGAGACTTTGAGGGATCTTCTGGTAAACTGCTACACTATGCCCTTAGCCAAGGAAAGCTAAAATTAAAGTGAATAAAAAACAGGAGCCTGCAGAGGGGATCCAGGGAAAAATGGCAGAAGCCAGGGAAAGGTAAGAATTCTTACCAAACCCAGTTCTACTGAACCTGTCTATAGTGCCCAGGTGAAAGAGGAAAATAAAATTTCAACTTGTCCCTTCCTTTCCAAATACAGATCCATTAGTTATTGATCCTTTCTCTCCCAGGGATAGCCATTGCCTTCTTGCTTGTTTTGCTTGATGCCCTAAGTACCTGGCTTGGCTTTCTGCCTGCCTGGGACATGCAAGTTGTCAGTTCTTTCTTTTGCTTGCCTTTGGGTGACTCTAGATCTTGTGAATATAATATCTTTTGCACCCTTTTGGGGGACACCTCTTGAGTCCAAGAGTTTGTTCAATATTACCAGAAATATCCATTGTTTGTCCTGGCTGAAAACTGACAAGATATTTGAAAGGATTTAATAACTTTATAACCAGAGGTTTGGCCAAATTGGAAGCTGATATTCAGAGCCTGACAGATTAAAAAAATTTTTTTTTGGCCATCTTCTCTAAGCTAAATGTAACCAGAGAGAAACACTCCAACATAGGTAGAGGGGTATGTCAGTCCATTAGCATCCAGGCTCCAACCCAGTTCTTTAAGGAATTGAGAACAACTGTCCTTATCTTAAAAGTCTTTGCAAAGCTAGAAGTATAGCTCTAGAGAACTGCAGGAAAAAAAAAAGGAGGTGGGGAAGGGGACTTTAAAAAAAATACAAATTGCTAAAGCAGCACTCTTGCCCAAAAATCTAGTTCAAGGAAAATTTTTAAATGAAAACTGTAAGATCTCTGTTTATGTCTGTCTGTATGCTCACGTGTGTCTATATATGTGTTGTAGGTGTGTGGCATTTTTCTACCTTTGAATGGTATTGCTAAAGTTAATTTGTAAAAGAGCTCCATTTAACTGGCTTAAACAAGCAAGCCTTTTACAAATTTAGGATTCAAACTAACCCAAATGCTTTTCAAGTTCACATGATCTGTGATAATGTTTGGTAAATAAAGGCTAGTTTAAGTTTGATGGTTTAATGAAAATAGATATGCCTTTAGAGTTAATAACATTGAATATAATGCAGACAAAACTTTTTATTCTACCTGGGCTTATTAGTCAAATAAATTCATGTTATCTCTTGCAAAATTTGTCAGCCAGAAAAATAACCTAGAACATTAACAGACTTTGTCTAATGTCTCATGAGGTTTTTGTGGGTGGTCTAAACATAATTATTGAAAACAAGTAAATTAAATGGGTGTAAGTGAGAGAAAAGTTTCTAGATGAACTTTTTCGTACTTACCCCAAATCTTTCTAGTATCCTGAAACCTTAAAGTTTTGCTAAGTTGAATTAAATGATGGATAGTCATTGAATATCCAGACCATTTCCAAATAGGATAAAATATTGAAACATTTATTACTGGGCATAGGCTTATCCACTTTTTGCTTCCTTTCACAAAGGAATTAAAGATATTTGGGTCTATTAGCAAACATCTTTTGTGCCATTGTGAGAAGCATTTTTCCAGAAATTATAAAAAGTATTTATAAGTCTGCCAGTAAACAGAATGCTG